AACCATTTTACGGAATTTATCTTGATTACAATAAAGTTCAGATGTTACTTCAAAGTCAATATGTTCGAGAGTCGTCTTTCAATTTTTATTGAAACACTTTTTTACAAGCGTTAACCTGTGTGAAATTAACGTTGTTTGATATGAACGAAAGAAATGGGTGTGGGTGGGTTGTTGTGGAGGTTACCGAAGAGAAGAGCCACATTCACACACACCTCCTCATTGTATTTAATTCGTCAAAGTGTCGCCTTTGATCAATGAATTTGAAATACATCAATATTTATGTATGTTTCATCATTCGCAACTCCTTCTCTTACTGTTTTTAATGTGTAGCTAAAGAAATTCATCATACTTTTTCTCATTTTTTAATTCTGTACATATGCAAAATAAGTAGACTATGCTTCTTTAGTTTCTGATCGTAATATTATAAAAAATGTTATGTTCTCTTTTTCATGATTGTTTTTTATGTTGATTATAAGGGTTCCTTCAGAAATATCTTTCTTTTTCATTTCAGCATAAAATTTATAAAAAATAAGCTTAATTGACTTTTTTCAATTTTCTTTGAATCAATCAAATTCAACAATCTATTGTTTGTATTCATTAATATTCATTGTGTTTTAAAGAAATCGAACTATAAAATGCGCGCAGTAGCCCCTTTTCAGGAGAATATACGGAATATAACAGTAACACATCAAAATTTCTTTCAAATGGCATCGAAAACACAAAAACCAACAGTGATTCATCTCAGTAAACACTTTTTATCTGTAGATATCTATTAATATTTGTCACATAGTATATTCAGAAAATTTCTTTATATTAGCAAAGCCGAGCAACGGACCATGCAGAAAATACTGGGAACCCGTTGGCTCAAATAAAAAGAAGAAGCCGATCAGCGATTACAATGAAAACTAAGATTGAACCCTCGACTGATCAAATGACCAAGAACCAACAATCGGATAAACACAACAAAAAAAGTAATTCATCTGTTCATGTGCGAATACTCAGTCGACCACAAAAGTATAATGAATTCCTAATGAATTCTTCAAGCAACCTGAAACACATAGATGGAACGTCATTGTATGGGGAAACATCTATGACACGTATCAAAGTAATGGGTTGTTTGAAAAAATCTTTCATTTGAGATTAAGACACTCATACAATGAGTTTTCAAATTTGATCATATCTAGAGCCAACGTTAAAATATTACATTACAAGGATATATAATAGTTTCGAATCCATAAAAGTAGTAAATAGCTATCGATAATCTTAGAAGGCATCAGACCTCGAAACGGATCGCTCGGTCTACGATTTTTTTTTCACTGGTTGGGCGGGTCGATTCTCAAAAATTGTGGGACCGAGCAGGCTTTTTTGTTTTTGCTTTTTTTCTGAATTGAATGTCTCTTTGAAATGCTAGACATTTTCAAAAATGTTTTACGATAGAAAAAACATATGCATTTCAGATCTGATTAATATGATAAACTATAGCAATTACTTAAAAATAGTGTATGAGATGGTCAACGAAAAATGCTGATACTTAAAGTTAAGAGGCTCATCTTGAAACTTGAGATATCAATAAATTTTCTTTTCTTGTTCGTAAACTACGTTCGATCGCGAGCTAACGTAATGCATGGTCAAAGCGAAAAAAATGTTTTCAGTCAGAAATACGATGAACTTTCCATAGGTGTAGCCCAATAAATAACTGTACTATAACACATTGAGTTCTAATATCCTACAACGTATTTTGTTTATTGAACTTAAAAAAACAAGTCAACTTGTCACATATTGCTTTTATTTCAATTCTAAAAATATTGACTAACCAAGCCCAAATCAGCACAGTTAGCTGCTACTAAGTGAATTGACAATTACCGAATTGATTTCCAAAGTCTACTTTAAAAAAATCTTTTTAAACATACACGATAAAATGACCCGTTTCGAGACTTGAAAGGCATTACATGTTCGAGAAAACAATATGTAATTAAAATCGATGTCATGAATTTCGATTAACCTAATTTCAACGAAAGTTTGATAGGATGTAGCGTGAAATCAGATCTGTAAAGTTCGAAAATTTTAATATTGATATTCGACCTCATATAGAAACATGAAAAATGAAAAATAAGCCCTGTAGATTTGAAAATAAAACTAATCAAATGAATACATGAGTTAACAACTAAAGGGTGACTCGAAAACAAATATATGGTGTGCAGATGTTGCATGTGAAGACTCTTATATCAACATCGACAGCCGCACCCACTCACATTGACATCATCACTAGTTTCTCTCTGGCACCCGGTCATATTCACATCGACTTTTACACCTACTTAGCCACTTGGATGGTCATGCCCACATTAGGAGAGCACAGAGAGATAGGGTGGCATCGTCTTTGCTCTTGAATGTTGTTGCTAAATGTGATATCACAGAAAAATTAAGAGAACTCAACACTATCTAAGAAAAAATCTTGGTGCCGACATCCACATTCACACTGTCACTTATGCATTATGCTATTCCTTTTACATATCTTACTTTCATTATGATTACTTATATTTTTTAGTTAAGAGGCACTGATTCAACAACATCAACCGGTAACTTGGAAACAAGCTTCATCAACAGTACAGCTGCACTAGTTCAGGAAAGTAGATTTAATTGATATGACGAGATAATTCTATGAAATTGTCTTGTTTAGTCTGATGTACTACAAGAAAGAAACAAAGAGAAAGAAAAAATGAAAAACGGTCAAAGGTAAATTCTTTATTGTACTAAAGTTTCTTTAAGATGAATATTTACAAATGATTACGAAGACATTCCATGTTCAATATGACGCCACGACGTCGTTGCCTTTTGATAGTTGCCGTTTTATGTACCATCTTGCATGGAGCATTGATCGCCACTATTATCACGCTGTGTACGTATTCAAAATATAAGAAAGCCATTTTATCACAAAGTTTCTTCCATAAATTTCTGTTGTCCATTCATTAATAATTATGAAGACTATAGTGAGAAATGAATATGCTTGGTGTTTTATTTCCTTCCTACTTTAAAGATGATGTTCTATCTTAGTAAATCATGAGAGACTCAGGGTGGGTGTGGGTGTAAGTGTTGAAGAACAGGTTATTCATATCCACACCCTTCTCAGCATAAGAATGAAAAGAATGGTCAATCACCAAAATGTTTGCTTTTCTGAATCCAAACGAAACTCATATTTCATTATGTTTATTTCATCTGTTTTAGCCTTTACAAAGGGATCAACAACGAGTATTTCGACAGCAAGTGTTTCAATAACAACAACAACAACAACAACAACCACAACAAGCAAGTATTTTTCTTTTGCTTGACATTGGTAGTACATTCTTCAACTAGGAAACTTTCTTCACAAATATATCATTCGTAGCTTTTATATCATTTTCGATTTTTATATCTGTGAAAAATGTCAGCAATGTTCGATCTTGTCTTCAACCATTCTTTTCAATAGAACGAATAAACAATTGTTTTCCATCATATTACGTGGCTTCCATGAAACAAAAATAAATATAGCATGTTTCGAATATATTCGACAATTGTTGTTGTTTAGAAACAATAATATTTTTTCACATAGTTCAACATGACTGACACACGACTGCTTGTTTTAGGTTACATTATAAAACACTCTATGGATCATTCTTAATCATTAATAATAAGTGTTCTTGTTTTTCTTTAGCTTACACTCAAGTGAATCTAACGAACACAACAGTAGCAACTAAGCAAATATATTATTGTGGAGGGACATCATCCTTTACACTCTGGAAACTTTATTCGACTAACGGATTATATATGGACATTAATACAACTACATGTAGCTTTAATTCAACTCCACTCTATTTTACTAGTATGAATGGAGAAAACGAGCACTGGTTATTAGGAGGTTACACTGCTATATATGTACCTACAAGGCTCTCATTTAGAGTTTATACTCGTTCTGTGAAT